TATCGCCTCTAGTGCTTATGCAACGGCATAAGTTATGTCAACATGTAGCTTGATTTTTTCTGTGATACCAAATAATGAGGTGAATAAGTCGTTCGCCTGGCTCACAACAAGGACCTCTATGGCTACTAAAAAAATAAAAAGAAATGACAAAAACAATGCAGTTTTATTATTACAATTCTTTTATTTATAAACATACAAAGTCTAACATCATTGTAGGCTTAACTTCTAGAAATAGGCTATACACAAGCCAGTCCTTGAGTCTTCCGATAGGTCCATACATTTTTTGGATACCACCGAAGCACAGCTAGCAGGACGAAGCGAAGCTTTTTTTGCATCGACTCAAATTATAGTTTCTAAACGAAGCTAGAACGTTCCTCAACCGATAGAGCGATGCCACAAGGGCGTTGCGTCGACGTGGCGACATTGAAACACAATAATTTGAACGTACCGTACACATGAATGCGTCTTTTGGTCATAAATCCCCTGCAGCTTGATTTTGATTGCCTCTTTCGATCGAAAAACTGCGTCTTTTCCGAGTCGAGGCGCGTAATTCCGATTCACCACTGGCCGATCGGAAACCTTTGACATTTCTAATCGGAACAATAGATGATTTAACTCTCAAATTAGAAAAATATAGTAGGAATCAGGTTCATCTTTTCGCTCGGAAACCCATCTGATTTCGAGACTACCCGATCGGATAGATTCCGTTTTGAATCAAAATCAGGACGCTGGTCAGTTGTCCGATGCACACGCGTTTCTTTGCCGCGTGCCGTTTTAACACACCGTGTGACATGTCTTTCTGTAGGGCTAGCACGACAGGATTTGCGCGGTAGCAACACGAAGCGCGAGATATTGCTATTCTCGCTTATAGATCTCGCGCTTTATATCGCTCTCATGAAGTCGCGGCCTGTCGTGCTAACCCTACTAATCTAATATGTTGTGACGCAGCGTCATAATGCAACGCCGACGCAATGCATCGCGTGAAATTAGGAACTAAAATCAAATTCCACTTCTACAGATGGTAACGAAGTTCAAATTTCGCATTTCGACCTATAGCTTTAAGCGTGAAAAACATAGAGAGCGGGAGCGGGTCTGGCGCGAGTCGGGTCGGAACCACGGCGGGTCTAATTCCGTGTATTTATTTAAGAGGGAGCAGAGGAAAAATTCCTAATCTTCGATTTGATTTTAGAGGGGTATATCCACTTTAAAGTTAAAAATAAAATATTGTATGAGTAACTACACGATATATTCAAGCATAGACGTTAATCAGAAACATAAAACAATAAAGTTTCCTCGATAGATAAAAATCACGAAATGACCTCTAATTTTCACATTTTTTCGATTTATCCTCGAAATGCTACAGGTTATTAGGACAAAAATTAGATAATTAATTATATTTATGCATGATCGACAACTGTCACTTTTAGAGTTATTCCGCTAAAACAAATTTGGTACTTTTAATGCGCAAAATTCAACATCTCCTGTCGCATGTCGCGCGAACTTCAGGCATATATTTGTTTCACAAATTTGGGCGGAGCCAACGTTAAAACTTTTTTGGCATGAGAGCTCTTAAAGTCATTTGAAAAATGTATATCGTATACTATACGCCTTCGTTCTATTTAGTTCAGTAGATATAAAAAAATACATTGCTACATGTTGGTGTATTGGTAATAAGTAAAGTATTTTTTTTCTGTCGTGATAATTTTTAGTAGCCGTATATTCACATCGTATACTAATCATATCCTCAATTTTACTATATCTTTTTCCCAAAGCGATTGATTCAACGCTGTCGCTGTTACGCCGAATCAACCAAAGCCGTTTGAGTTGTTATAAACGTCTGCGCACTTATATGACAAAAATTATTGGTAACTACCCGTTTAGCTCCGTCAGATTGTCTCTTGTAAATATGCTAATGATAAATGTATACAAATGTTTATTTACAAATAGCAACCCCTGCAATTTCTTAGTTCAATACCGTAGCAAATTTCATTATTTAAGTATTCGATTTCTTTATCGTGCAATATTCAGCATTCGAGTATTGTATCATGAAATATTATTTAATAATCACTCGATAATATACTTGAATATTTAAATAATAAAGAAACCATCTTCCTAATCCTAATTTCAACAGGGAAGATGGTTTCTCCGTACTACCAGTTTGGGATCCAGTATTTCCTCTAATGAAAAATCCCAAACAGACATAAGACTGCAGTACAATTAATATGTTTCAGTTTATTCTAATTTCTATTAATAATTAATAATAAATTAAACTTAATAAAAATTCATTCAATAAAATAATTTGTAAAACTTAATGTAGCGTAAATTGGAATGTTTTCTTTGTAAAATTCAAAATAAGGTATTAAATTAATAACTATTGTAACTATAGTGAAAAAATAGGGTGGTTTGCATTAATATTAGACATAACTGGTTGAAGACTGTACCACCTCAGTCAACCGTGACCATGGGACCTGTAAAGGGCCCGAAACGTCGGTTTTGTTTGAAAAAACAAATATACGCGATTTAAATCCGGAAAAATAGTTTCATTTCCTATGACGGAGTTATATTATTCAGGGACATCTGCCTTACGAATGAGTCGTAGAATTTAATTTGTGTGACGATTTGGTGGATACTTACTTCAATTTACTTCGGCTTATTATCACGTGGATTCCACGTGCCCGCTTTCCGCATGGAAATTTAATATCAAACGTCAATATAAGCGTGTTTGATATAAACGACAAAATACGTCAAGAAATAATAAATGATTTCTCGTCTGAAACGTAAGGAATTACTTATAAATCTATAAACAAGGCGCAGGAAGAGATAAACGCAAAGGAGGTATAAGATGGTATAAGCGATGCAAATGACGGCAATTTATCTTTACAGGAACCGCATCGAGAGGACGGCGTCGAAGCGATGGCGGGGCTCAGTACGACGGATAGTATCTGCCCTTATTTGTAAGTTTAACTTGTGTTCATTTATTGTTGCCTGGTTCGATGTATTGAGTATGTATCCTAACAATTTGTCTATCAATAATAATGATCAGTACAGAGTACTAAAAAAACTGACCTCAAAAGTACGTGGAATTACGTCTATTTGCTAAGTTTTATTGAAATATCCTCTAGTTCGCCACTATACAGGACTTGACAATGGAAATAATAAAAATCGGTTCTCACTACTCAAAGTATATTGAGAGAAAAACGCCTTGAATTGGAGAAATAGGAAAATCAACCATTAAAGTAATTGCTCCTAAATTAAAGTTAGGCGCTATTTATAAAAATGAATCTTCATGCGTGAACACAAAATGGGACCACTATGGAAGTACCACCTTTCCAACAAAAAAAGAATCATGAAAATCGGTTCACAAATACCAGAGTTATCGCGTAACATACAAACAAAAAAAACATACAGACGAATTGAGAACCTCCTCCTTTTTTGAAGTCGGTTAAAAAACCGAAGAGCATATTATACAAGTTCCATAGTCACTGTTGGTTGACTGGCATGGTATTAGTCTTTAAACAGATACGTGAAATATTTTTTATGGCACTAAGCAACAGGATGAACAAGTCGTGCACCTTGTAGTAAGCAGCATGCATGTCCATAGCAGTTGCACTGAGAGCTTTAAATCGGGAAGATCCAAAGCCACTGCCACCGCGCCCGTCACCCGGAGTGACAAGTCCCATGTAATTTCACCAGCCTCCAAAAGTGGAACGCAGTAATGCTCACATTACTGCTTGACGACAGAATTATCCGCTCACGCGATGCGCTCCTCCTACCGCAAAATGGCGGCTATCTGGTTAATAAATTAGAAAAGCATTCAGTTTAAATACAAGTTTTTATAAATAAATAATATTATTCTGCATTGCTAAATAAATACCCTCCATACTACCAGCAAAAATAAAGTGCAGTAATACACCGCAAATGCTGCACTTAAAAAGCACTAATGAAATTTTTGGTGTACTTGGATAAATATGATAATATTCCGTTTGAGTGGTTCTAACGTTTACCCTGAAATTACTCCTTGAAGTATAGTTTATAAACATTTATATTCAGGGTAAACTTAAAAAAACGCTACTTACAGTATGTTTTTAATAAATAAACACCGAATTCACCAGGCCAAACAATAACACACACGATTGTCGTGACGTATTTTTGAAGTTGTTTATTTTTTTTAAATGACAGACCCAGGCGTTAAAAACTTTATGGTTTGCTAGAGTAGTTACCGAAATAGCAATTAATATTAGTTCTTTTACCTGTTATGACTTCGATATCCGATAAATCGGTATAAAATCATCACCGGCACCTCTAGGTGTGGTATGCGTCTACGGCTGCATGTATCGCGTGAGCGGATAAGTACCTAAGTGTAGTCTCTGGGCCAGCGTTACACGAAGAATCAGTCTTCGAGTCTAATACAATAACGGATTCAGAATGCTGATGGCGCAATTTCGCAGCCTAGGACTGACGATTTTTTGTTACAAAAAAGACTGCCTCGATATCCTGCAGGCTGCGGGCCAGTCACAACCCCATCTTGATGACTGTGGCGGTAAGGTATACACGACTACTTACTATTTGAGAAGGAGCTCTTCTGCTACTGAGCGTATTGTTAATATTAACACAAATCACCCCATTCTGAAATATAGTTACAAAAGTTATGATCTAAATTACTTTATTTGTCAAAAAGGGCTAAGTTTCCACTATTGACCACATGCTCTTTGCTGGTGTTCCGCCATTGCCCGCAATGGTTAAGAAATTATTGAAACATGACAAACATACTCGTGAGACAAAACGATAAATAAAATATAATCAAGTAGTAATTTCAAAAATAACAGAACACTTAAAGCACGAATGAAAAGAAATCTACAAAACATAGAAAATGTTTTAAATAATGGAGTTATAAATACGGTTAGCTTAGTCAATTAAATTAATGGAAAGAATGAGGAAAAACACTTAGACCTTATTACGCAGCTGTGTTTACAATTTACACAGCCAAGAAAAATCCACAAAAAACGAAAGAAATATAAAAACTAGATCGTCACTCTACCAGGCGCTCATAACATTTGAGACAGTTAGGCTGCCTTTCCACCAGAGACGTGAGACGTAGCGAGGCGGTGCGCGAAGAAACAATCCACCAATAGAATTACTTCATTTTCCTAACCTCGCTTAGCGCATCTCCAGTTGAAAAGGGTTAGCGGAGCTAAGTATTTGTACATACAAAATAGCGAGAGATGTGTACGAGGAATGTGTGCGAGAGATGCGGGAGGGGAATGTGTGCAAAACGGTGTAGGAAACTAGAGTTACTGAAAGCATGACACTAACTGACATTGACACATCGCCACTGCTCACGTCATCACCCCGCCCGCACATTGCTGAAAAGAATCCGTAAAGCCTCGCACATCTCTGTGGAAAGGCACCCTAAAACTGAAAGGACAATGAACTAACAGACAGGCTATGAAATTGATCCTATTCAGCCGCGCAGATTACGCTTTCGCCTGAATGGATCTTGTAAAACGTATTGTGTTTATTGCAATTTTTATTAGAATTATTTCGTTCTTTCCACTTATTGTCACCGAATTATATAATAAAATCGTGAAGAAACTGAGTGTAGTTACTTATACCTCGTAAACATGCAGGCAAAGTCGGTCGTAATGTTCGAAACTGCGCCCACGGGCTTTTTCATCACATGCATTTTATTACATTTAATTTCTTTGCACTCCTCTTATACGTCAAAATTAAGCAAAAAGTTTTTATGCTCGGAAAATCTGAATGTATTTCGCAAAAGCTTGAAGTACAGAAATAATAAAAACATGTGCAATTTAACTATATTTTTAACCGACTTCAAAAAAGGAGGAGGCTCTCAATTCGACTGTATGTTCTTTTTTTTGTATGTATGTTACGCGATAACTCCGGTATTTGTGAACCGATTTTCATGATTCTTTTTTTGTTGGAAAGGGGGTACTTCCATAGTGGTCCCATTTCATTTTGAAGAAAATCATTCACCTCGAAGGGTAGCTGCTCACGCATGAAGATTCATTTTTATAAATAGCGCCTAACTTTAATTTAGGAGCAATTACTTTAATGGTTGATTTTGCTATCTCTCCAATTCAGGGCGTTTTTCTCTCAATATACTTTGAGTAGTGAGAACCGATTTTTATTATCTCCAGTGTCAAGTCCTGTATAGTGGAGAACTAGGGAATATTTCAATAAAACTTAGCAAATGGACGTAATTCCACGTACTTTTGAGGTCGGTTTTTTTAGTACTCTATACTGAGATTATATTAAATTAATTTTATAAATTCAATATCTGCAGTATTTTTAGTATTTTCTAATTATTTGTATTATATCTAATACATCATGGCTGTATGCGTTTTTTTTACAAGATTTTTAGTTCGAGTTGTATTATCCATGGAAGAATCTGTTTAGAAAAAAGAACCGCCATTTGCAAATCCGTTATTATTGTGTTGTGAAGCGATATATTTTATTCAAACGAGAATCAAATTATCATTGTTTATTTCCTCGCAAATGTGATGAAAAACATTGTATGTAGCGCGGGCGGTAAAAACTTACAAACCTCGAGTCATCAAAATCCTTCGGCTTCGAGCTTCATAACGACTCGTTAGTGGTTTCTTATTTAGCACCCGACTAACAACTGAAGACACGCTACTAAACCTAAAACGATAAAAGTTGTAAGTTGTAGTTGTAATAACAAAATTATACCTAACTAGTTGACATGTAGAATAACCAATGAAAATTTGTAACAAAACAGTTAAACAGTTAAATTGTAAGTAGTCAATTAATAATAATAATAAACCATTTATTTCAGGCCATAGTCCATAAGATAATGGTGTTAGTTACAAAAGAAAATCTTAGAACCTTAGAATAATAACGCATAGAAACCTAGCCCGCACACGCTAAGTGAGGCAAGTTAGAGGGTTCCAAACGCGCTCCCAGGAGCGCGCGGGCTGTTAGTGCTCAAGGTCATATTGCACCGCGAACAGCTCCAAAATTTTTGCTAAAAATGACGAAATGTGCTGTAAATGGGTGTAAAAATACAACAGACAAACATAAAATAGACACTAACATCGCATTCCACAAGTAAGTAATGCGTTTCAACTCATATTTTTATGTAAATATTCACTAAAACAGAAAAATAATTTCGCGGCAACAAGATACGAAAGTGTTGCAAAGTAACGAATTTTTTTTTCCACATTTTGCTATTCTGTTTCAAAATAATTATATTACGTAAATTTTAGTGGTGCCTGTAATTTCGATTTATTTGCGCATCTTGAACAATAATATTTACTTGAATAAACATTAAATGTTTTCGTTAACTTGTGATGAAAGTGATTGGGACATGAAATTGAAAGTAATTATTTTATAATACTTTTAACGGCTCTGCGTTCATGCTTTATTGAATAATTATTTCTTTTAATTTTATTTGAATAGGAGCACATATTGCAACAAATTTACAGTATATATTTGTTTCTACTATAGTGTTGGCACCACCAGTACAACTTTGATAGCTTATTATATGTCTTTCTTTCCGTAACTCAAGCGAAATATTTTGTATTGAAATATTTTATTTTCTTAAAAGGGGAGCATTCTTAAGCGATTTTTTAATCTATTTTAACAGTTATTTTCTTTAATGTTTGCTTATGGCATTTTCGGCTTTAGGTTTCGAATATGGAACTTATTTCTTAATTCAAGATGGTGGGCGCCATTTTTCGAATAATGGCAAGTTGGGTATCGTTTTCGAGATTTTTAGGAATGTTCAATACAAATATGGCACTCATTTCTAAATCCAAGATGGCAAACACGACAGTTCAAACAAAATCAATATTCGTAATGAGCACCCCCAAATACCTCGAAAACGATACCCAACTTGCCATTATTTGAAAAATCGTGTCCGCCATCTTGGATTCACAAATAGTGCCATATTCACATTGAGCATCCCCAAATACCTCGAAAATGATACCCACATAGCATTTATTTTTAAAAATAGTGCCCGCCATCTTGGGTTTAGAAATGAGTGCCATATTCGTAATGAGCACCCCCAAGTACCTCGAAAATGATACCCATATTGCATTTATTTTAAAACTCGTGTCCGCCATCTTGGATTTAGAAATGAGTGCCATATTCGTAATGAGCATCCCCAAATACCTCGAAAATGATACCCATATAGCATTTTTTTGAAAACTCGTGCCCGCCATCCTGGATTTAGAAATGAGTGCCATATTCGTAATGAGCACCCCCAAGTACCTCGAAAATGATACCCATATTGCATTTATTTGAAAACTCGTGTCCGCCATCTTGGATTTAGAAATGAGTGCCATATTCGTAATGAGCATCCCCAAATACCTCGAAAAGGATACCCATATAGCATATTTTGAAAAATCGTGTCCGCCATCTTTGATTTACAAATAATTTCTATATTCGTTTTTCATCGACAAAACCGAGCATATCTGTAGGCACCTGATCGACATTGTCGATCGACAAAATCGAGCACATCTGTAGGCACCTGATCGACAATGTCGGGCAAATCTGTAGGCACCTTTAACTTAATGATGAGTTAAGCAAGATACAATTTTCCCATTTTTGAGGGAAATGTTATTCCATGGCATCATTATTTGTATATTTGTGTGCGTGCCGACGAGCGTAAATACAAGTTGCTTATGCCTACATGAATTTGGTTTTTGCCTCACTTGTGACAGTTCGTTTGATATGAAACTGTCATTCTATGCGTTATTATTCTAAGCTTAGAACTATGTTAGTATGATTACATTGAAATTTGAGATAGAAAATTTAAATATTTAAATTTGGAAAATGCACAATTATTACTTAATTTGACCAATTGTAATTGTATGGGAATTAAGGTAAGAAAATGGTAAGGATCCATACATCTGCAGGATAGATGTAGCTTCACAATAAGCCGTCTCGCGATTCCTATTGGAAGATGAGAACCGTACCTACAGGTTTGCACCGTCAATGCCAAACACTGAACAAAGCACCACTTACCTTGATCTGGTTGATGAAAATACAGGAGCTGCTGGATCACGGCGGCTAGCTAGCCGGCACCGCGTGCTGATTTGGGCAACACCGCGATGAGGATAATTTGATCCGCCGGGCACGGCTTTGAGTTATGGACAAGTTCACGATATGTCTGTTTAGCACCAGGTTTCACGGTCTCATGAGATTTTAGGTAATTTATGTATTTTAGAGAACACCGGCCGTTTTTGCCTTGTTCGTGAAAGTGCTCGAAAGTAACGGCGTGCAGTGCTTACGCCCGCCAATCGCCTTCGTGAATGACGTATTTGATGTTGCAAACCGCGCGAATATTTAACGAAGAACTTACACGTTTATGAAAACCATACAGTAATGTTTACCAAAAACTTTTAAATTGTACAGTCAAAACGTTGGGCAAACATCCTCAGGATGCCATTGCCAATGTCACGCACTCGCTTTAGCAGAGACGATACTTTTTTACGCCTAATGGCATATAAGTCGTCTGTTCGCGCTTCAGCAAAGATGCACTGCAGTGCCGTGGCAGTCCCAACAGCATCCTGAAGATGTTATTGTATTGTACTCGTATTGAGTTGTATGTACGCTGTGTATATCTAACCCATAGACTACTCGAATACATTGACTGACAAAAAGCTTTAAAAAGCGTAACTTGCACCTCTTTTGTACAACGAGTGAATCTACGGGCCAGCATGTTTCCTCTCACAGCCAGCGCTCTGCGCTCCCTTTCAATATCTAGATCATCATTCATGCTGTCAGTAATAACGTGACCAAGATATCTAAACTTATCAACTCTATTAAGAGGCGTGCCACCAAGCGTTAACGATGGTACATCTGGATAGCATTTACCTGCCTTTACAACAAGCAGTTCACTTTTTTGAGTTGTACTTCCGCCCATGCTTGGCTGCATACCTCTCACACACTTTGAGTAATTTCCTGAGCGCATTAATAGACGGCCCCAGCAGCACCATGTCGTCAGCATAATTGATATTATTGACGCATATATCATCAATGAAGCAACCAACATGCATGCTGCCGAGTTCTCAGGGTCTCAGGGTGACCTGAGGGCCACTGCCACAGCACCCTGTACCGACAAATATTGTTACACATTTTTTGACACTACTTGAGCCCATTGTCACCACTTGAGGACGACATTTTTTTATATAAAATAAAATAAAATCTTTTTTTCTCCATAATTTTCTCATAAGCAGGCTATTTTCGAAAGGTTTATAAAAAAATTTTACTTTTTTTCACACTAATTTGTATTTGGGCGTTACTGGGTTAATACAATTAAAAAATTTGATTGTATGGATTCTTAGTATAACATACCCGAAAAGAGCAACAATCCCTTCAGGCTGTGTTAAGCGAAAAAAAATATATAAAAATGAACCCACATGATTGACTTAGCAAGGGTCGAAGGAAAACCCTTACGCTAAATTGAAAAAACTTCACACACAATACTCTGCTTTTGCAATATTAACTGTCTTCTTTCTGAGAAAGAATACAATATCCATTGAATAAATTAAGTGGGTTACATTATAGTCCCGAACACGGAAGAAAATAAACAAAGGAAGTGCCTCAATAACTATCAGAACCGCTGTCGCCAAAACTCACACAATCGTATCGCACTGTCAATACAATAGTGCATTAACTCAAAAAGTGTATTTTTCAGAATCGATGTAAAACGAATTACTCACTTCCGACGTAAAATTATTAAAATTGATGTATATGTTGCAGATTATTACAGACATCTAAACAATTTCTTGCTTGTCAAATATATTTAAAAATAAAATTGAAACAATAACTTCATATTCTTGAGTATGGACTGTAAGTCACAAAAATTTTGTCTCATTTTGAGTTAAGTACCTAGATATTTTTTAATTGTTTCTTACAATATTCTAACGATGATTTTATTCACCTGTAGAGAATAAAATTTTTTTTAAAAGAATTTCACATATTTTGAGTTACGACACTATTGTAATAGCAGTGCGATATGTTAAACACTATGAAATCTCGATAATGATTTGTCATAGTTCCTAATTTAAAAAGAAATAACAAATTCTGACTGAATTTAAACTTTATTAGAATTTAAACTTTGATGGCATATCGGATTATTGCAACTTACGACGTTTTGATTTTACATTGCAATTTCAACCAATATGCTGCCATCTAGCGATAGTTGAACGATGATGTATTCGAGATGTTTACTTAGTTCTCCAAAAAAGAAGCGACCACATTACAGTGGCATAAGATTTGTTGTCGTTTCTTGCAACAAAAAAATTAAAATTTATTAAAAATAAGACTTAACGATGATGGAAACACCACCATGGATAATATTACAGGTGCGACTAACTATTTTTTGAAATCCAAAGTAGCAAAATAATACAGTTTTGCGCGAGATAATTAACACGACCACAACTTGCAAAGCGAAAATGGTAGACGGAGCTCTAGTATGTAGAATCCCTCGTACTGTTGGCTCACGTGCCACGCTCACTAAGCATTTCTTCTGTATTTGTTGTTCTGTGGTCGCGAAAAACGATTTTAATCCCGGATTTCAATTCACCCACAATGAATAATAGTCGTCGTTACGGTTTATAGCTAGATCCATTTGCTTTGTGAGCCTCTGGTACTCAAATACAAATGGTATCTTGTTTTATTGTCGTTTTCTACAACAATGGTGAGTTTCCTTTGGCTGTAGCAGTGTAATACATCGCTTAGTTGAGATAAGAGGCTGAGAAGGACCATGACGAATGCGATTTATTCGTGTCTAGATTGCAAAAAATGTGTAAAATCAAGATTTTTTTTCCCACCTAAAAAAATGATGCCTGTTAAAAGTAATCTCTGTGATGAGACTTTTGTATATTACTGTCGGTTTTCTCCAAAAAAAATGCTTCTATTATATGATATATTATTTATAAGTTTCAATGAATATCACAATGTATTATTACTATGATTTTTAATTACTTTATTGTGAAATTTTTAAACTCGAAGCTATACAGAGCCGATGTTTACATGAAAGCACCCTCTAGCGAAATCTTTGTAAAATTACTGCAATAGTTTGTTATAGTTATGGACACAAAGACCGAACATTAAGAAAATTCTTCGATCCGTCTGGATTCGAACCAGCATACAGGCACGGTTAGTGTTCGATCCATCTTTGTATTAAAACTTATAACATTACCTCTATTATTATTAATACAAAGGTGCCAAATAAGCCACCGAACGAACTAGCGGACCTTACAAATTTTTCTGATGTTTGTTTTTGGTTTTTAACGACATTTTTACCGCTTTTGGCTCGGTTTGCTGGAAGACGTTGGTTCGAAACCATTTTTTTTTCTAAATGTTCAATCTTTGTATTATTTATTATAACAAAGTGGAGTAATTTCATAAAAATAAATTAATATCGCGGTGGTCAAACATCGGGACATTCCATCATTTAAAACAAATACTTTTATTGCATACCTATTAGTTTTTTTGGTAGACCAGTTAATTCTGTTTGTCCGCCTTTTACAACCAATGTTTTCTTCCGTCAACATCACTGAATCATACTTTTTTTTTTTTTTTTAATTTATTATCTATCTAATATAACTATCTCATGATTTCAGATAACCTCTCTTGCTTCACGCATGGTTGCAGTACTGGATGGGTATCAGGCGTATTAGGAAATGAGGCGCTGACAGGAGGTGCATGGTTAGCCGCGCTTCCGTGTCTAGTGGCGCTGCCTGCGGCGCCATTCTTCGCTGTTCTAGCTGATGCTAAAGGACGGAAGGCTGGGGCGTTTTGTATCTGCATTAGTTTTATTGTAAGTATCTAATGCTGTTATGTTATGATTATTGTAGAAAACGTCATCATCATTATACTTAAGAGTTATATCTTGAGCTCCTTATACGACACGACACCGGCCCTTTCCTTTATTTGGTCCATGTAACTGCGCCTAGGTCGACCTCTTCCCCTCGTTCTTTCTCTCCAACATGGTCTTAAAGAAAATGTCGTATCGAATGTCTAATCATCTTTCCGCGTGTATACTCTACACTCAATTATTAAAAAATGTAAAAAGCCTCTTTCGTGTCAAAACGCTGACCGTTTAGGAGTTTTCTCTTCTCCTTATCGTATCGATGGCATATACCACAACACTCGCCATAGTGGTGATGGGGTTTTCCAATCGACGTCTTACAAACTTAACAGGTTTTCAAAGAGTTTTATGAAACTTCTCTAATTCATAAGATGTTTATTTACACAGTAAAATAAAATAACAGTCGATATTTCTAATTGGTATATAATTGGAAAATACTCGTTGGTGAAACCTATGTCAGAAGTCACCCGTACACCTATTACGAATTAAAATTTTTCATGTTTCTTTAAATATTCCAACACCAGATCAACTGGGCCCTGATAGCGTGGTGCGGCCCTCGCGGCGTGTGGGCGGCGCGCGTGGCGGCTGGGGCGGGCGGCGCGGGTGCGCTATCTCTCGCGCCGCTGTACTGCGCCGAGATAGCGCCCAAGGCAAGGGGTCTGGCTGCTATGCCTGCTTTGGCTTGCAGGTATCATTTCTTTAATTGTGTATGACTTGAGTATAATGTTATTGCACTTTTGGAAGACAAACCTAATACTAAACCTACTTTGATATCATGGACAGGAACTAGGTAGGAAATGAGCTGCAGTATTTTCCTAAATATTGAATTCCTGCCTCAGGTCTAAGATATTAACAACCTGCCTATTGGTGGTAATTATAGTGAACTATTCTGTACTTTGTTATAATTACGTCTGCGCGGCTAAGAAGTCTCAATAAAACTTAACATTTACGATTATAAGTGGCACAAGAAGCACTTTCGGCGCTTAACGAGGCAATTCCCGTGTGATTTCAAGTGAAACTAATCTAGTCTGGTGTTTCTGGGTAGTATCCCCAAAGCTATTTTTGTTAATCTGATATTTATTGTACAGGGAATCCCTATATCTTTCCTATTTGACCCATTTCAGTTGTGGCATCCTCTTCGCATACGGAGCAGGGGGTGTTTTATCGCCGCATGCGTTATCACTCTCGATGGCTGTACCATCTGCAGTGCTTCTGGTCTCGCTGCTTTGGTTACCGGAGACTCCTTCCTTTCTTATCAGTATTGGGAGGATCCAGGTATTTGAGTATTTGCTTTTGCTTCCCTATTATAGATCTAAACAATGGATGAAATGACGAATACAAAGTGACTAAATTAGAAAAAGGTAGATACTTAGTGGTGGTTTGCGAATGGAATGAACGTAGAGAGTGACGGAAGAGAGGAATAAAAATAAACTAGCTGTTCTTGACGGTCGTCTTCATAAAGTTTCAAATTCAGTTAAGGGGCAATGTATACGCTTCTATAACAAGATCGATATTCAATTGGATATGATTCCGATTGATATTCAATATTTGCCATTTACGAGGTAAAACTATAGTGAAACAAAAACTTTATATCAAAGGTTATTGTACAGCTTCTGCGTACTTAGATGATAAATATCCGTGGTAGAGACCGATTTAGCTCTTGCAGGTAGTCGCGATCTAAGATGTTTAAAATAAGAATTGTAATGATAAATGTATTCAAATATATATTTACAAAGAGCAACCTCTAGAGTTTCTTGCCCATAATTCTCAGGGGAATATGCCTTAGGAATGAGCAGTAGAGTTAAATCGGCATCACTATCTCAAGTGTAATTTGCTTACCTAAGAAATAAAAATTATTTGACAAACAAACCGCGACAAAAACGTTTTCACGAAGATGTTCTTAAAAAAGCTGGAGTGCTCAGTGAGAAGAACAAGATGGCTTGCATGAAAAGATTCGTGTGAAGTGGCGATTGGTACGAGAATCCAAAGGCGTGAGTAAACAATGAATCATATGACGACACGTTGATATTATGATTACGTGTCATCAAATCTCGATATGGTGTATATATAAGATAGCCTATGGTGATATATTAGATAGCCTTTGGAAGTTGGCAGTTTAATGCAGTATCCACCATTTTACGGCCAACAAAATTTGCCAATTTTGTAATTTTGGTGTGCCATCATCTTGAAAATGTACTTAACAACAGGCATCATGTGGATTGTCTCTTAGTATGAGTTGCTGTCGCTAAATTATAATAATCATTTTTATCAATCAATCATTAATTTTATCAACCCATTTTATCGAGATAAACTCTTCAACTCGTTTCGACTATTCCACATTGCTTTCATTCCATTCCATTCCACATCCCTCTTTGACTAAATTTATGTTTCTTATGTCTTTCAACACAATATTTAAGTAATAGTTTTCAAGCCAAGTTTGTCTTTATTTTCCAGGACGCAGCGAAAGTGATGTGCTGGTTCGATGGCTCCGATTTCCGTGAGGACCTAACTGACGTAATTGAACAACAAGAAGTTCGTATAAGAACATCAGAGTGCCACGGAAGACGCGATTTGATAAGACGACAGGACTCCGATACCTTTCAGCCGATGCTGAAGAGGATCAGTGGACTAGATTCGAATTCTGATAGAAAGACTGAACCGTCCGCTTGTAGGGAGCTTTGTAAGTACTCTGTGTGATATTATTCTTTGGCCTAAAAGCTAAATTGACAAGAACTACAATAGTTTAATAAACAAAACTAAAACCAAAATATATATATATTATACAAAATAAGTGCGCAATTGGCCTCCATCTCATCTGGTGGAAAGTGGCGATGAGGTCGACGATGTACCATGTACATCTAAATAATGCCCACTCACTCTCGCCTTGAAAAGGGCCAAGTTATAACGTTCAGGAAACAAGTCTGCAGACAGAGAATTCCTCTCCATAGCCGTTCGCCATATAAATGTGGAATGAAACGCTTCGTTCGAATTCTTGGAATATCCACAACACAGGGGTGGAACCCCAGCCTACGCCTCCCCCGATGATGGAAAGGGGAAGGCGGAATCAAAATATGCAATTCCATCGCATACTCTCCGTGATATGTCTGTAGAATACCGATAAGCAGGCAACTGCCTCCTTTTCCGAACGGTTACCATGCCGGATTGCCACGCTGAGGTCCGATTCCCGGGCCGGGATAAATATTTATATGGCCTACATTTATTTCTCTCGTGAGTTTAGGTATAATTTGTGGTTGCCCATGTATATGTCCATGGCACCCGTAACACAGGGTTTCCCTAGTGCGGCTATGTTGAGTGTGAAAAAAAAGACAAACTTTACGGCTGTGTTCAAGTCTCTGCAGCTTCGCCTCTACTAATTCCGAGTTACCTGTAAGCCTCATGACACGGTTGTCGATTGAGTCCAAAGTGTCCAGTTGGTACTTAGTAGAGCCATCCCATAATTGACATTTGAAGTACTCCATACACGACCGGACTTGTACCTGGTATAGCTGAAGCAACTGTCCCGGTGTGCAGTAATGCCTCACCTAGGACAGGATGCCAAGCTTCCTGGCTGCATTTTTGGCCATGGATTAAATGTATCTGCTGAAGTTCATGTTGGACGACAGGTCTATACCAAGTAGGTGAAAACGGTCGGCTATCGGTGTGGATATATCACGAAAAGTCGGAATCAGATGAAAGGGACTCCGTTTTGTGGAGAATAGACATGCCTGCGTTTTGGTATCTTTAAATTTGACAAGGTTACTTACCTTCTAATTTGTATTTAAGAAACAGAAGTTACGGTATACACTAAAAGATTTGAATATGAATTTGTCAATCAATCTATCAATCATCAAAATATATTTAATTTTGATTATAAGATTTCTTCTGGTATATTGATTGCTGTATATTGCAATTCCAGTCCGCCACCGGCGATGTCGGCGTGCGCTATTTTCCTGCTGCGTGCTGATCTGTGTCGCAGCCGGTAGCGGCGTGGGCGCAGTCAACAGTTTCGCTGCTGCCGTACTTAGGCATTCTACGCACGCTGTACCGCAACTCAATGTTACTTCTTACAATTTCTCTATGTACAATGGGTATGTAAAACTGTACAGTAACATTCTCCAGTCAATCATACTGACGGAATAGTCTCCGACGTACGTATAATATGCTTGCTTTGATAAATTTCTATAATCATTGACATTTTGTATAATTTTCATTTCAGTACTATGCCGAGATCGCTATTCCAGACGTCAGAAGCAGGTTCAATGTTGTGCGGAACAGCGCTGGTACTGGGGGCTGCTATGGCTACCGTCACCGTAGATAAAGTTGGTAGAAAGGTAACTTCACCCGATTATAAAAATTTATAAGCGTTTAAAAAAAGGAATGTCCCATAATGGTTACAACTCATGGATAGCTAACACATAAAGACGTTGCCTCGTGTTTTCTTAAAGCTTTGTCGCTTTCTACAAATAACGTATCGATCGTGGATTCATAACCGCTCACGCGATACATGCAGCCGTAGACGCATACCACACCTAGAGGTGCCCGTGATGATTTTATACCGATTTATCGGATATTGAAGTTATAACAGGTAAATGAACTAATATTAATTGCTATTTCGGTAACTACTCTAGCAAACCATAAAGTTTTTAATGCCTGAGTCTGTCATTTAAAAAAAATAAACAACTTCAAAAATACGTCACGACAATCGTGTGTTATTGTTTGGACTGGTGATTTCGGTGTTTATTTATTGAAAACATACCGTAAGTAGCGTTTTTCAAGTTTACCCTGACTATAAATGTTTATAAACTATACTTTAAAGAGTAATTTCATGGTAAACGTTAGAACCACTCAAACGGAATATTGTCATATTTATCCAAGTACACCAAAAATTTCATTAGTGCTTTTTAAGTGCAGGATTTGCGGTGTATTACTGCATTTTATTTGAGATGTTTTTCTTGGTAGTACGGAGGGTATTTATTTAGCAATGCAGAATAATAATTTTTATTTATAAAAACTTGTGTTTAAACTGAATGCTTTTCTAATTTGCGAAACCAAATAGCCACCATTTTGCGGTAGGAGGAGCGCATCGCGTGAGCGGGTAGGAAACTTGCTGTCGATAATTTTACATTAATAGATACATCTTCTAGTGCTGTTTTAAGATCACTATTCTTCTTTCTGTCATTTCCTTTCAGACGCTACTTCTGTGGTCCTGCTCCGGCATCGCCTGCTGCTTAGCTATTTTAGGCGTTTACTGTGACCCCCGTCTCCGTTTGTACACCCAAAGGATATGGCCATACAAACGATTGCTCAGAGAAAAGACTGATTTAGCCAATATCACTTACCAGGCCAACAAAAACATAATTGAGGTGTCATTGAAGAATATCACAGAGGGATTTAGAAGTATAACCGATATGAAAGCGGAAGGTTTCAATGAGACAAGTTTTGGAAGATTTGATACTGGTAACAATTCTGATGTGGTTTGGTCAAAGTATGGACTGATAAAAGAAGAAGGAACCATATGGGCGCCAATAGTGCTGCTCTCAATGACCCTATTTTTTTATAACATTGGACTAGGATCGGTGCCCTTTGTTCTTGTTTCGGAATTTTTTTCTATTAATGTAAGTATTGTTATAACTTTTTAATATCAACTTGTATATGTATGACCGGCTGCCAAATCAACAGACTAACATTGACAGTGCGTTCGAATTTTTCTTAACTTTTTTAACGGACTTTACCAATAAAGGAAACCATACCCTAAGCCGTTTGCTTTTCTCTTCAAGATGATAAAAACTAGCGATGAAGAACATGTGTTTTCAGCACTGTATAAGCGCTTGAGAACATTTCTCTAGTAAAAGAAATTATGGAGTTTTACAAAAAGAATCAAAAGTAGAAGTTAAAACATTTTAATGTCTTTAAAAAAAAATTACCTGCAAATGTTTACAATACTACGTAATTGTAATAAACATCTCTTTTGCTTCTAGGTTCGCAGTCTCGCCTCAAGTCTCGTCATATCCTGGATGTGGCTCAGTAACTTCCTTCTCCTTCGCTACTACGGAACTATCGCTGTCTTTCTCGGTCTACATGGCACTTATTATATCTCTGCCCTTGTGACTCTTCTAGGCTCATTATACACATGTTTTATTATACCAGAAACCAAGGGTAAGTCCAATGAACAAATAGAAGAAGCCTTGGAAAGGCCTTTGTTGAGGCGGGGAAAAAGAAAAACGGAGGAACCTTGATGATAGTTTATTGTTCACCCATTTTTGGGGATATTATAATTACAAATGAGGAGGGTGGTAAGGAACAATAGGTTCCTAAAAATAAGTTCGAAATGATTACAAAGGCTGGTCATTTACATTTGGAACTTTGTAATTGTTGCATAGCTTTAGTAAAACTTTTACTACTGTTTGTGTAAACGTTTATGCCAAAAATCAATACGAGCGTTAGATTTTGAAGTCCAAAGGTAACTTGTCAGCTATTGAGGTAAAATCTTATGAAAATAACATAAATATATGTGTTTATGACCATGACGTAAAGAAAGGTTTAAGGTGATATTGAATAAAGGCAAATTAAACAGATGAACAACGTTTAATTCAAGACATAATTAGTATAGGTAAAAGAAAGATAGATTTAGTAAAATAAACAAATGTACTAGTTTTATGTCAATTTTAATGACGTATTTGTTTAATGTTGTTCCAAATAAAATGTTTAATAGATATTTAAAAAGCCCCAAATATGACACCAATGTATTGAATTAGATAGTTATTGAATAAAAAATGCTCCATTGAAAATGTGAGAGTTACAATAGTGAAACTTTCATTATATTCTGGATACAGTTATTTGAACACACTGTTGGTGGTAGGTTGGAGAGCAAAAAAGACATGTCCGAGCGACTCCATACAGTAAAATTTTGAAATAAAGGCCACGTACAATAATTCCAATGAAAAAATGGGAAATTAGAATAACTAAGTGTGAAGTGTGTCAAAGAAAATGTATAAAAAACGCCAAATTGAAGAAAAATAATCACGTGTAGGTGATTGAAATTATCAGAGTTATATCTTAGGCTAGTGGCTGCCAATATCACGTTTTAATAAGAATGTGTTCTATGTAAAACTAGTAGACTACTGGATTATTACGTAGATGTAATAAAGAATACTAAATTCGTTCATTCACATACATCTATAGACCGTCATTTCATTTGCATGTATGATTAAAGATATATGTATATTAAAATACGCCTCTTTCCAAATGTCAGTATCAAGCTGTTTTAAATTCAATTACACTTATCAACAAAATATGTATGTATAAATTTATACTAGAAGCTTGTACCCATGTTTCTACGTATGATTTCAACCAAATTAATTAAAACATTTCTATTTTTTACAAATTCAAAATATCTCCAGCAGTCGAATTCACTATAAATAATAAATATTTGTCAATATATTTTTAGAATGAAGTTATAAATGTATTTTTGTGAGACTCAGATTATATAATCTAATATGTATAGGGTGTATAAAATTTAAACCGCACAATTAAGTCATTTTGATGTACAAACAGATATAGCTGCAGACAAACATTTTAGCCAAACTATCGCATATTGTAAATAGATTGTCGTGTTATGATTTTTTATGGAAAATAAAGCTTTAAATGTGCATTTTTCTCTTACTTACCTTTCATCACTAAAAATACTTTATGTAAAGATTTAATAGGAGCGATGATTAGGAATAGAATAGAATAGAATATAATCGTTTATTTCATGTTATCAATGTCACAATATTGCAATTGGAAATACAATGTCAAGGGATAACTATGATCGTCAGTGATAAAATTATAATAATAATAATGAATATAAAATAAAGTAGTATAACTACTGCTTGTCGAATAAAAATAAAATTAAAATTGTTTCAAAAGAAGCTCATCGACACTGTACAATTCAATATCCAATAAA